GCCAGCCACATACACCTAAGGTGGCGGGTTCAAATCCAGCCTGGCCTGCCAAACAACAATGACGGCTGCAACCAAAAAATAGCTGGGCGTTGTGGTGGGCGCCTGTGGTCCCAGCTACTTGGGAGGCTGAGGCAGGAGACTTGCTTGAACTCAGGAGTTGGAGGTTGCTGTGAGCTGTGATGGCATAGCACTCTACCCAGGGGGATAGCTTGAGGCTCTGTCTTAAAAAAAAAAAAGAAGTTAACAACTCAATTGCTGTCCTAAATCAGCCTAGTGAGTGTGTGAGGCAGTCATGTCTAGTTTCCTTCTTTGAGGGGAGACTTGGAATGGACTGATTACCTGTATCCCCCCCAAATCCATATGTTGAAATTCTAACCCCCAGTGTTATGGTATTAGGAGCCAAGACCTTTGGGAGGTGAGTAGGTCATGAGGGTGAAGCCCTCAGAAATGGTATTAGTGCCCTTGTGAAAGGATTAGCACCAGACAGCTCTCTCACTGAGTGCCCCTGCCCCTGCGCATTGCATGTGATATAATGAGAATGTTAGCAGATGAAGAGGGCCTAGCTGCCCCTCCCTGTAAGCCCATGTGCAGAGACGTGGATAGGTCTACCAAACTTTATCTATCAGAAGCCCGGGGATTCTGGAGCACAGGGAGAGTAGCCTCTCCAAGACTGTTCTGATCTTCCATTTCCAACATTATAGTTTTATCCATATGAGTTCAAAATGAAGACCATGTTATCCCTTATCTTAAACAATAATTGGCAGAACCCATGACTCATAAACAATGAACAACATTCTAATTTAAAAGTTAATCTAAATCAATCCACCTAAACTGCTCAAGATAGGCACCTTTAGGGTGGGAGCTAAATTTACAAAATGGTAAGAAGGGGTGACAGGGGGTAAAGGTCAGGCAGGACCTAAACTGATCAGACCAACTTCATCTTGCTGCCCCGGCCTCACAGACCCCGTCTCATTCTCACTATATGTGCTTTGAAGGAATGGGTAGTGGCGGCACCCATAGCTCTGTGGGGAGGGCGCTGGCCACATATACTGAGGTTGGAGGGTTCGAACCAGGCCTGGGCCAGCTAAAACAATGGCAACTGCAACAAAAAAATAGCTGGGCATTGTGGCAGCTACTTGGGAGACTGAGGCAAGAGAATCACCTAAGCCCAGGAGTTGGAGTTTGCTATGAGCTGTGGGCAATAAAGTGAGACTCTGTCTCTAAAAAAAAGCAAAACATAACTGGGCGTTGTGGCAGGCGCCTGTAGTTCCAGCTCTTGGGAGGCTGAGGCAAGAGAATTGCTTAAACCTGAGAGTTTGAGGTTGCTATGAGCTGTGATGCCAGGGTACTCTACCCAGGGTGACAGCTTGAGACTCTGTCTCAAAAAAATAAAAATAAAGAAAGCAGGCAGTCTGCAGCCCAGAATCGGGCCCTCACTCACTGCCTCACCAGCCTGACACTCTGCCCTTTGACTCCCAGCCTCCAGAATGCTGAGTAATGCATGGCAATCGTTTATAAACAACCCAGTCTACAGCATTTTGTTAGAGCATCCCCAAAGGGACTAAGACAGACATGTAGAATAATTTTCGATCTAGTCATCAAAATTGTGCTAGAATTAAGATTCTGGAAAAAAAAAAAAACACAGATTAGGTTTTGGAAGGCAAAAAACCAAAAGTGCTTGCTTTGTAGTTGGGGATAACGATTCCTAATTTCCTTAGTTTATGGCGTTTTGAACTTCCCCTTCATCTTTCCAATTATTGCTTCATTTAGTCACACCAACAGGCACCTGGAAAAAGTCATGAAAAAAGACAAACTTCTTATGATCTAATTAAATGGAAGGATACACTAAACAGATAATTCCACAAATAATACTTTAATTACCAGTTTTTACTTGCTGTGAAAAGAAATCTATTTAATATGAATACGGGAGGCAACGAGACTATATATTTGAGTTGCCGCTAAACTTCTGCCTAACCCCCCCATCTACCTGGGATTCCTTTTCCATGGGCTTCACTGCACAGGACAGGCTAAGCACATAGACTACAGTCTACAGCCAGGTGGTCTGATGACAGGTTTCAAATTCTGCATTAGCCCTCACTGGCTGTGTGACCTTGAATCAGTTACCAAACCTATCTGAGCACCAGGTCCCTCAGCTGCAGAGTGAAAATAACACCTACCCTTAGGGTTGTCGGGAGAATCAAATGAGATGATGTAACTGAAGCTCTCAGCCTTGGAATTGGGCACACAGCAGGTGCTTAATTAAGGCTCCTTGTTGTTATTATTAGCCTCTAAAAGTGATCTCTACAGTTGTTCTCTCCCCCATGCTGAGAGGTACTGAATTAATTCACTCGAGATGCAAGTGAGGTTTGGAGAGCAGCTTGCCACTGACTTTCCAGGTGGGAGCCTGGCCACCACTCACCAGCTGGATGTCCTTGGGCAAGTCAGGCAGCCTCTGTGGACCCCACCCCCTCCTCTGCACAGGGGAGATGATAAATTCACTGGAGAGTGAGAGCTAATGCATATAAAACACTCAGCTCGGTGACGGCAGCTGTTGTTATTACTACCTTATGATTATTTTCGAGCTCGTACACACCGTAATAATGCCCGGATGCCTGCAGTTTTAGTGGTGTTTATGCTTTTTGCATTGATTTGAAAGTGAAGTTCTGAAAGTCTTTCTGCAAAGAGTGAATTGTCTTTATCCCCTGAGGGTTCTCCTGAAAGCGCTCATTTGGTGGGTAAATTTACAACACGGGTGCCAGATAGAGGATCCATGTAAAGTTTCTCCTGAAAACACTTGTTTAATCTCCCCAGTTGCTGTGGAATCTGTGTCATTTTTGCTTGAGTGATCAGGTACGTTTCATAAACAATATCTCTTATGCTTAAAAGTCTCTAAGCAGCCATTTGAAGAGCCTTGACCTGGACTACAGCTAATGCCTTGTTTAACGTGGATCTTCCGTGTAGACAGGGCTGGCAATCCACTGTTTATGCCAGCATCTATATTTTTCAGGATTTTTTTTCTTATTTGGAATTGTTAACTTGGCTTTCTAGTGCCCACTACAGAAGAATTTTGGTGTGTAAATTTTTGTGTGTACCTTGTCTCTCGTTCCCTTTCCCAAATGGGAATTATTGGTGTTTTTTTTTTTTTTTTTGAGATAAAGCCTCAAGCTGTCACCTGGGTAGAGTGCTGTGACATCACAGCTCACAGCAACCTCCAACTCCTAGGCTCAAGTGAGTCTCCTGTCTCCACCTCCCAAGTAGCTGGGACCACAGGCGCCCACCACAACACCTGGCTATTTTTTGGTTGCAGCCGTCATTGCTGTTTGGCGGGCCCGGGCTGGATTTGAACCCACCAGCTCAGGTATATGTGGCTGGCGCCTTAGCCGCTTGAGCCACAGGCGCCGAGCCTATTGGTGTGTTTTTACTGTGCATTTTTGCCCTGGTATTCCCCCTTACTTTTCTTTATTCAGAACTTTCAAACATATTAGGGTATGTTCTGAGGAAAACAACACACAAAGAGCTTTCTTTTTTCTTTTTTTGAGACAGAGTCTCACTTTGTCACTCTCAGTAGAGTGCTGTAGTGTCTTAGCTCACAGCAACCTCAAACTCTTGGGCTTAAGCGATCCTCTTGCTTCAGCCTCCCAGTTAGCTGGGACTACAAGGCACCTGCCTCAACACCTGGCTATTTTTAGAGGTGGGGGTCTTGCTCTTGCTCAGGCTGTTGTCAAAC